GTCATGGCGAAGAGGAGGAGTTGCTGCACAGGACACTAAGGAGATATGAGAATGTCAGGAGAAAAATGAGAGACATAGTCACGCCATGCCAAGAAAGGAGATTGTTTCCAGAACAGAGCAGCCCAGGGTCTCAAAGGACACTGAGTAGCCAAGAAAGAATGGATTCGACTACATGGCAGCTGTGGTCCTCCCTGGAGAGGCAGAAGTCATCCTGGATGTGTGCAGTGGGAATAGGAAGAGGACAACGCCCAATGGAGTCCCTCTCTGCAACTCTGATGCAAATACTCTGTCTCTAAATGGGGGAGGAGCAAAGCAGGGAAACAGTTCTGGGGTTTCCAAAGGGGTCTCACTGGGTTTTTAACATGGGGGAAGGGGCAGAGTGCACGCATACAAGGAAGGTAATAGCCCTGTTGACAAAGGTTTGGTGGTGCAGGTGAAGGAGACACAATGCAAGGATCATGGTGTCAAACAAACTAAGGAAAGCAGGACTCAGCTGAATTAGGAAACTAGAATGCTTGCTGGTCCAGCAGTAGACTATTAGATTTTCCCATTGGTTACTCTGAGCACCATCATGAGAAACCATTGCCTGTTTGGGGCATGGAGTGGCTAACCAGTTCTACATTTCTGAGGAGTTACCCATACACTTGTCCTCCTAGGTGGGTACTGGAAATCTGGAATGAGCAAGCCACTCCCGTAGGACAGAAGGAGGTGATTGTGGCCACCTGGCCGTGTCCTGGACCACCCCTTCCCATCTCAGGGATGGTGCTCTCTGCACTCGCTTGCTCTTCCTGACTGGAGTTCTGTGCCCATGAACACCAACAAGAGGAGTGCAGAAATAGAGAAAAATGTTCCCTAGGGACCAAGAAAACAAAACAAAACAAAACCACGGGACAACAGACAGTGACCCCCTTCTGAAGCTCTCTTTCCCTCAAACACTGCCTCATTCTAGCTTTCCTTAATTCTACTGCTTGTTGACCACTGAGAAAACCAGGCAGCTATGGCACTCCAGCCTGTGGAGAAAGAAACGCCCAGAGAGAGAAGGATTCCAGGACAGAGAAGGGGGCGAAGACAGGCAATTAAACTCTTCCATTCTTTCGTTCCTTTTGATACCAACAAAGTTTGCTCCCGATCTTTCCATCACCCTTGCCCCAAGCACTGACACCGCTTCTCTCAAAAGCACAAACTGAGGATTAGCAGGATCAAGACCAAGATAGTCTTCTTGCTCAGGGGTGGGGGGCAGTTCTACTCTCATGAGCAAGCCCTGCGGTCCACTTACAAGGGTGGCCACCTGCACTTGGGGCAAGGGAGAGGAGCAGGCCACAGCTGTCCTCCCAGCAGCTTCCCATCACACAGGACACTGCTTGGGGAACACTGTGACCACGCTGCTGCCTTTGTCTTCAGTGGAAAGGGTAACTGCTTTCTGCATTTGTTATGATCCATCATACACTTTGATGATTTTGTCAAAGAGAAGCAAAAAACCCTACTTTCACTTGATGAATATTGTCTTCTAGGTGTTTTACCATTTGTTGATGCTTACTTTAGCTAAGCTGAGATTTCTGTCCTAAAATGTTACCTCCACAAATGCTTGCAGAGGATGGGGCTGGGCTAAAAATCCTGGAGCCTAGAACTCAAGGTAGGAGTCCCATGTGGGCAACGGGAGACGATCACCAGCGTGTTCACACAGGGACTCCCGGGGCCTGCACTGGCCGGAAGCCGGAAGCCGGAAGCCGGAGGCAGGAGGAGCCTGGATGTTGACATGAGCCTTGGGTGTCCCGAGGTGTTCATTTTCTTGACTGAGATCTCAGGTAATACATTTCCCCATTCCTGGGAATCTGGTTGATATGACACAAATGTGGAATAGGCCGATCAACAGGCCTGTCAATTTAAACTGTTTTCATGCTTTTAGCATTAAGCTTTTGAAAACAGCAGGCCTATGGCATTTACCCTCGTCAATGCTATCACAGACATATCTAGAGGACAAATTCCACACCAATTTATTATTTCAGGTGCTGGCTAAATTCCATGAACATTTCAGAACACTGTAACAGTTTTACTTTCATGGTTTTGGAACTTTTGCAAAATTTCCTGAAGACAGTCTAGAAATTGTAACAAATTTGCAATGCTTTTAAACATATCCCGCCTTTCCAATAAAAAAAAAAATCTTAAACATATGTTCAAAATCACTCTTACCAGCTACCATTTAAAAAAAAATGTTAACAAATAACATTTTCTATTACTTAGGTATTACAGTTCTTCCAGAATCTATTCACAAACACATCACAAGGTAATAAATGACAGAGCGGAAGTTTATATCCTCAGAACATGCAAAGCTGCATTAATATTCATTTGCCTCTTTTTGTGAGAAAATTACTCAGTGAGCTTAGCAGATACGTATTTTGAGATAATCACGACATGTAGAGCACGAACTGAAACAAATGTGTATCTGAATGTCTAATTAATTAAAATCTGTAAGTCAATGAAACTGTATATGTTTTGACTTGAATACCGTATGTTGTGTGTTGACGTAATGTATTTTTATCTGCATTTGGAAAAAAAAGCCAGAGCAAGTGTTGACATTCATGCCTTGACCTGTCCCTTTAGCCCTACATGCGTAGGCGCACCCCTTACAAGTCTCAAACACATAACCCCCTGTTACAGGGGAACTTTTTGAACAACTTCCTTTGCTGTCCCATCCTTGCCCTACACAACTACCGTGTGACTAAATCAGTCATCAGGTGACTCAGCCTGTGGGGGCTCTGCAGAGGGCAGGACCTATTACTGGCTCTAGGATGCTAAGCAAACTGCCAAGTCTCAGTTTTCTCTTCAATGAAAGGGGTCCAAGAGGCCTTTCTCAGGAGGAGGCCTTATTCTGAGGAGGAGTGCCTGGCATGGTGGCGTGCTGCCTCTGAGAAGGGCTCAACAGCTTTGGGAACTCGCCTGTGCAGTAGGCTGGCACAGCTCTGCCCATTCTGGGCTTCCCACAGGCACCCTGTCACCCCTGCTCCCACATTATAACTGGCAGATCCGACTCCCATTTCCTTCTGTCCAAAACCTCTTTTCTCACAATTGAACTGCAGTCATAGTGCAATGTATTTGATGGAGAACAGTTTAAACAATTCTGTTTGGAAGAAAACAGCAACCTTGGAATCAAAACTTTTGGCTGGGGGAATGACCTGAGTGTGGGCCCTGGAGAGTTGGAGGAGGGCACATGGAGAAGGCCAGCAGTGTCTGCTGCCTGTGCTGGAGCCTGCTGTGGGAGCTGGCCAGGCTGCAGGGCAGAGTGAGGGCTGGCTCACATCGCAGCTTCTCCGGCCCTTCCCAGAAGACATTGGAAAGGGGGCAGATTAAAGGCGGGGGGAGCTTGGGGTACACCCTGGGCTATTCATAGTGCTGGCAGCTTCAGGGCAGACCACAAGGGAGCTGGCCAGGCCCTGGTTTTGGGGGCTCCTCTTGGGGTGGGTGCTGGCGAGTGGAGCTGGGTCTACCAGTGCCAGCTGTGTGACTAAGTTCCCTTGTGACTCAGGGGAGGCACTTCCAGAGCTCACAACCAGGACAAGCACAGGCAGCTCTGCTGACGTCTTTGCTACTTTTTCTTATTTCTGAAAAGTATCTTTAAACACACCATCTAACTTTGTTCTTCGCACCAGCTTGGTGACACTGGCCCAAATTTGTCCTGAAAAAAAATTTTTTGATCATTACAGTCACAAGCTCAAGGCCATTTAGCTGACAAGTGGCTGGACTCTAACCTGAACCCTGAGGCTGGGTGTAGGTGGCTGGTGCTGGGTCACTCTCCCCCTCATCGATTCCATCACCTTTTAAGGGGACATGGCCTTACAAGGGAGAGAGCCACGAACCTTTCAGTCCTACATGAGTAGGAGCGGCTTAAAATATATATAAAGAAAAACTGAAGAAGAGGGAAAACTTTTATTTGAATTTCAAGTTACCTTCTGGGATGTTTCTCACCCAAACAGTGAAATGGTCCTTTCATTCTTCTTTCAAATACACTCAAAAGACTCAGAGATAAATGGAGAAAGACTCTCTTTCTCTGCTCAGCAAGATGTCACAGGAAAACAAACAGCCTGGACAAGCTTTGCAGCACCCTTCGTGCTGGTCAGGCCGGGAGGAGCTGCACAGGTGATGTTGTTGTTCGGTACTTGGTGTTCTGTATGTGTGTTTCATCTAACGGGGTTCACTTTCACCCTTTTGCACCCACAGATTTCAGGAGTTTCATTACTATTAATGGGGCCCAGTCCCAGCAAGAGCAATGAGGATTCAGTAATCACTGGAAAAAAATCAAACACAGCCTTGCAGTGCTACCTACCTGCTATCACTCCCATCAACATCCCTTTTGCATTTTCAGGTTTGTTCATCGCACGGAGAAAGGCAGGGAGACTTAATTTGATTTAGTGGGGGGTTGTTAAAAAAAAAAAACTCTGACTCTACTTTTTTTTTTTCCATTGGGAGGAGGGGGAGCAAGGAGAGTCCGGCCAGCTGGTTCTCATCAACGTGCCATAATTCTCTGTTTGGTTTACACTATTAAACTCTGAAGCTTGGCTTTCATCTTCCCTGCTACAGTCTGCCTTACTGTGGACTAGACCATGTCGCATCCCTGGTAGGGGTTCAACCCTTGCGAAGCCCCACCTTCGGAGCTGATCCTTACCCATTTTTTCCCCCTACTGGCGCCTGCATCATCACGTTTTGTCACCCATGAATTCTTGGGTTTTCGGCAAATCGCTGAGTACACTGTGGTTTGGAGCTGCCAAGATGATCATCCGTGTTTATTTGTACACAGCGATTCCTTGTTCAGACCTCCCTGTGTTTTTAACCTCTTGTGAACTACTGCTGGTTGGAGAGGGGCAGGAGGTGGTACAAGCAGAGAGGGCAAAGAGGGGACAGAGATGGACAGTAGGAGCCATGGATGTGTGCAAGCTGCTAGTGGCTCAGGAATGCTGCATGGAAAGGCAAGAGGAAGGGGAACAGAGAGCACATAGGAAACTTGCCTGATCTGTCTTCATTTTGCGAGTCACATCTTCGGCACAGTTCCGGTATGGTCTTGAGTGACGTGACTGAATACTGGATGGGAAGCCAGAGGAGAAAAGGGTGTAAAACGGCAGTTCAAAGTCAGTGCATTCATTCAAATCAGCTAGAGAAGCCAAACACAGCAAGTGATACTTGAATATACCAGGAATATTCAAAAACGGTATCTTGTTTTTCCTCAGTCGGCTGCACGGGAATCTGACAGCCTCCCTGGCTCCACTATACCTGCAGAAGCAGTTTCAGACTAACATGGCTGAGCAGCTCTGCCACGACCATTAAGGTGAGGAGAGCCCAGCAGACACTCCGTGCCCCATCACTTCTGCCACTGTGGAAGGTGAAGAACCATCTGCCCTGGAGAGTTTCCAGAAAACCACCCTAAAGTTTGCATTATGGAGCCTCAGAGTCAGTTTAAACGTGCAAGGCTGGATGGGGAACCGAGAGGCCATCCAGTTTCTTGCAACACCCAGGGAAGTCAGGAGGGACATGCGGCTATGTTGATGCACACGGGAGTATGCCTGCTTTTATGTCATCTCCAAGCAGAAATCAGGATAGTGTCATACAAGGCAAGGGACGTATGATGCTGTGTTTGAAATCTCATCTATTTCATATTATAGATTAGCCTGAAAAACATCACCCGGGTTCTGTCTAAGTACCAACTAAAGCCGCCTATCAGGATAACAAATTACAACCTAGGAAGAATGAATTTCGAAGAGCTAAAGCAAATAGAAGATCAATAGCTATGATTCATGTGGACTGTGTTGGATGCCAATCAGTCTTTCTTTAGAGCAGGATACTTTCAACAAATTAAACAGGATGAATTCTTTCCTAAAGGCCAAGTCAGAAACTGTCTTCAAGCACTCATTTTCTTTAATTCATGAAACGCATCTTCCTAAAAACGTCTTACTCGGTCACTCTATGAACAACACTCTCATGTAATAAGCATATATCACATTTTAGTTCCCTACTGCCAATTTTTGAATAATTAAGAAAAAAACAGTTAATCTGAAAGAAAACTGATCACGGACAACTCACTAGGGCCATTCTACACTGCAAGCGAGGGCTGTATAGTCAGCATTCGGCTGTTAGGAAGAAGCTATGCCTGGAGCCTGCTGCTGTCAGATGAGGCAACACCTCACTGCCGCCCAGGCTGTCAAGGAGGTGCTTGTAGCTACTATCACTCTGCCAACTGCATTGTGTGTAATCACAAATTACGTTTTCAATATTTCCAAGTGAAAAATGCAATCTCAGATGACTCATTGGAGGAGCTGTGCTCTCCTGTCTGATGCAATCCCAGCGTCTATGCTGGCCATCCTCTGGGGACTACGGGCGCTTTAGCAGGTGCACCCAACATGTTCCAATGGAGGGCTCACTGACCTCTTCAGCCAAAACCAAACCTCAAAGTATTCCTCTTTTTATATATATTGTATGTTCTTTAGGCGGCAGGTGACACAGGCACACAGCGCATTTTTCTTGGTGCTAATAAAGTAGCTCATGTCTCAACAGCTATCAGCTCTCCAAGGACTCTGTAGCTTCTTGGGGCCAGCTGGTACAAGCTAAATCATTACAGCATCTATAATTCAATTACACAGTGGGCCTTGTGGGTTGGTTGCCATGTGCCCATAAAATGCTCTCTCACCAAGCCTCTCTCTCCTTTTTTTTTCCCCCCAACCAAAGCAAAATTTTAAAACGGGGGCATTGTGTTTACATGTAGTTAAAGAGAAGTTCAGTGAGGTCTGGTCACAGACCATGAACGGTATTCACGTCAGTGAGGCAGCTGTCTGCATTTTCAGGCATGTACCTGCACTCCCACCCCAAAGTCACACCTGTCAGAATCTTAGATTTATCAGCCACAGTTCCGACCTTCCCTTTATGAGTTCCAAATCCCATCACGTGCAGCAAGTTGTAATTTCATGAGGTTCAAGTTCACGCAGCACAGGCTGCCTGGCTACCACAGGAACTAAGTCATAGGGAGAGATCAGCCTTGGTCAGCCTTGCCTACCATGTACACCTGCACAGCATGTGGAGGCTGTGCCTTTCTATCAGTCCTGTAGCTCATCCTAAGTGTTAATTCTTTGGGAATAATGACATTGAAAAATGGCCACTGCTGCTCCAGGGAATGAAAATAAAAAGTACATCAGTCTAAGAAAAGGATTATGTGTCAGCCAGAAAATAAAAAATTGGGACTGAAGGGGTTGGTGATGTGGCACAGTGCATTAAGTCAGAGTCTACATACTGATGCTAGTTCAAGTCCCAGTTGTCTTACTTCCGGTCCTGCTCCCTGATAACATGTCTGAGAAAAGCAGCAGAAGGCCCAAGTGCTTGGCCCCTGCCACCCACCCAGGATTCAGGTGAAGCTGCTGGCTGCATTTTTCAGGATGGTATAGTCTTGGCCTTTGCAACCATTCGTTGTGAACCAGTGGATGGATGATCTCTCTCCATAATTTAGGAGTAACTTTAGGATGCATGGACTGCTAGACTCAGCAGTGACTCTGATCTACACAATGAACAAGTCCATTGTTCTTCAGAAGGACACAGGGGGAAGCAGCCTGGAGGTTTGCTGCAGGGGAGGACAAGTTCACATGTCAAGCTGGAAATGTGAAGAACAGCGCAGGAAACACAATTGAAAAAACCAACACACAAAAACACTTTCCTGTTGGCAAATTTGAGACTGAGGAAGCAGCCCAGGAAGTCTCCCTTAGAAGGCTGCATGGTTCACCAGCTGGGAGCTGGAAGCAGGCAGGACCACAGCTCACAGGACAGATGGACTTTTACGAGGCACTGTCACGTGGCCAGCCCGCCTCATGCTCAGGACAATGGCCAGCTCCCAAGGTAGTCATTAGAGTCACTAGTCACAGCAGAACCAAACCCAAGGCCTCATGTTGACTCCTGCCTTCCAGTCCAGGCTTTGGCAGCTAGTTCCTGTGACCCTGGAGAGGACGGGGGACACTGGCCTTGTAGGTCACTGAGCAGCACCGTTTCCCACCACCTGGGATGCAGGTCAGGCAACTGAGTTCCAGGCACCCATCTGGGTGGAGACCTGGAATTCATTCCCAACTCCAATTTTGGCCTTGTCCCAGCTCCCACTGTTGTTGGCACAGAAGTGAGCAAGTACATGAAAGGTTGCTCTCTCTCACTCTAAACAAACAAAAATCAGAGCCTGGCACAATGGCTCAACTGGCTAATCCTCCACCTCTAAGCCCTGGGATCCCATGTGGGTGCTGTTTTGGGTTCCAGCTGATCTACTTTCCATCCAGTTCCCTGCTTGTGGCCTGGGAATGCAATGGAGGATGGGCTGAGGCCTTGGGATCCTGAACCCACATGGGAGACCCAGAAGAAGCTCCTGGCTTTAGATTGGCTCAGCACTAGCTGTTGTGGCCATTTGGGGAGTGAATCAGCAAATTGAAGAACTTTCAATCTCCCCATGTGTCTCTGTAAATCTGCCTTTTAAAAAATAAATAAATGAGTCTTTAAAAACCCCCAAAAAACAGCAACAAGAAAACCCCCTACCGATTGTGTATGCCAAGAAGTTAAACACAAAAGAGCAGATGCTGGATAATTCTGTTTACATGATGTTGAAGAAAAGGCAAAACAATCTACTACTTCCTTCTTTAAACTGCTCAAGGGCCTCACTCCTTTCTCCCCTTAACAGCTCTCTTGGATTTGTCAATTTCTGAACACTTGGTGCTGATTTCCTCAGTGCCAAGCCCCTCTGTGCCACCCACAGGACACCTAGGCACAGCCCCTTCCTCGGAGCCCTCTTCCCTGTCTACCCCATGCTTCACAGGTAACCTTGCCACACCTTTGAAGAGCAGATGCTGACGAACCAAACTTACACATACCAAGGGACCTTCGAAGAGCTCGTGATGAACTAGAAGTAAACTGTAAAACAGTTGAAGGCTATGTACGGTTTTTGCAACGCATATTTTACGTGAACTTTGGGAAGAGTCCTGGTATATCCTCCCCAACTCTGCTTTAAATACATATCTCCCCAGTCTTTAAGCTCCACGAACAAAACTTCTTTTAATGGATCCTACTTTGCTATACATTTAATTCATACTCTGATTCTTTGTTTTTATCATGCCAAGAATTTTTTTTTTCAAAAAACGACAAAATTGTTTTTACGCCAGGACACTGCTTGTGGTTAGTGGATGGGTAACCAGGTGACTTCTGTTGGCCAGGAGGTAGCCCAGGGATTACTCCTGTGGTCCATGCGATGTGCAGCCAGGCTCAGGTGAGATGCTGAAAACAGTGCTGTGTGACCTTCGGCTCCATGAGGGATGGGCACGGGAGCTGAGAACAAGGCTTTCCGCTCGACTGCATCAGGATAATTGTTTTGTCTTTTTTTTCAGCAATTCATGTTTCTGCTTCCTTAATTTTCATGACTGGCTTCATTTCTCAATGTTCATTACGATGAGCACATACTTTCCATCAGACACTAATTCCACGGGATTTGCATTATTAGCATGTGATGATCACAGCTACATTCTGATATTGGTAGTTGCAACCTACTGTTACCAAGGAAGAAGTTGATTTACAGAGGTTAAATGCCTGAGGGTAGCTAGCCAATGCTGGAGCAAGGATGTCATTTGGGCAGGCTGGCCTCGGAATCCATGCGTGTAGCCACTACCTTGAAAACAACTTCAGCTGGTCATTTGCTGGCCTTCCAAGTTCAACCCCTTTACCTGCATTTCTTTTGAAATCAAATAGGTACACATATATACAAATAGTTAGACATATGTGTATGTGTACATGTATGTGTACATTCCTCTTTTGTCCTCTTTGTCCATAGACTGCACCAAGTAAAGGTGGTGCACATGAAAGCAAGGGGAAGCAGGGTTTTGATGAAAGTCACTCCCTGGCTGAGCGCTGCAAAATGGAGAAACTCAGCTGTGGGTGGGGCGTTCACCAGGAGCACTGATTTTTCTATGGGTCAACCACCACCCACAGAAACTGAACCTGTATCACATTGTATTGTTCCTCCAGCTTGTAAGGGGCAGTGAAGTAGAAGGATATTTGTTTCACTTGACTCATGTGACCCCCCACAACAAACCAGGCTACACAACTGCCAACAGGTAGCAGCTTTCCTTGAAGCTGCAGACTGGAATGGAAAGGTGACAAAGGTTCCCACATGGAGGAAGAGTATTACCGATGTCTGCGTGCATGCGTGCATGTATCATTGTATACACACATATGTTGATACATGCAAGGGTACCTTTCTAAAACACAGACAAACAAATGTTGAATTTCCTCCACACAATGCATGGCATAAGAAGGGTGCTTTACAAAGGTCATAAAAATTATGCTTATTTTTGCTGCCAAAAAGTTAAAATCCACACATTGTTCATTACATGCATTTCTTATGAACTTTTGAAGACCCCCTCAATATATATGGATCTTAAAATGTTTCTGCACCAAAAATAACCACCTTTTAATTTCATGTTCCACCAAGTTTTTAAAGTATTCTCAAATGGTAAAATCAAGGTCTTCTTTGGTTCTCTTTAGCTGATTTTCATCTTTCTACAATACATGTAATCCCATGACTTAGAAAAAACAACCATGGAGTAGTGGGTATTGTTGTGTAAAGGGTAAAACCATCACCTTTAAACCATCACACCATATGGGTGTTGGGTCAAGTCCTGGTTGCCTGGGAAATCACTGAAGATTGGCCCCAAGTGCTCCTGTACCCACACGGGGTACCCACACGGGAGACTCAGAGGAAGCTCCTGGCTGCTGGCGTGGCCTGGCACAGCTTCGGCCACTGCAGCCATCTGGAGGGTGACCCAGCATAGGGAAGCTCTTGCTCTTGCTCTTCTTCCTTCTCACTCTCTAATTCTCTCACTCGCTCGTTCTTTCCTGTTTCTGTAACCCTGCCTTTCAAATAAATAGCAAATAAATCCGAAGAAAAGAAAAAGTATTTGTTACTTCATGTCAGCACCAGCTGAGGACAGTGAGGGGAACTGATTGATGTAGGGACATTGATTATGTGTCCGGGTCATGAGGTCACACCTGTGCCCTTGTGCCCTGCCCTGCTGATCATCTGTGACCTCGTGACAGTCATAGTCTTCCCGGCACCTCAGCTCTTCCATCTACCAAATGGGCTAACAATAGAGGGTCCAGGCAGGGCTCAGTGACCAACAGTGGTGGAGGGCACACAGCCTGTCCTCAGCTCCAGGGGTCAGCCCCAGCTTTGCTCAAGGCTGCATTGGCCATGGTTGCCTGTATTTAAAAAAGCAAACACACTATGGCTCCCAAGACCTCCAGGGAGCTCTGTTGTAACACAGACGGACTGCCTCCCAACAGATCAGGAGAACCCTATGGATCTCTCTGTGGGGACGGCAGAAGCTCTCTGAAGTTGCAGCATGCAAACAGCATCATATTCATTCACCATGCAGGTCTGCGGTGACTGCACGGCCTGCTGAGCTCTCCCGTGGCAGGGGTACAAGAATGCACAGTTTAAGCCCCACACTTTGCAAAGGATGCACGTTTGTTCCAAGTCTGGGAAACTTCACACTACTTTGGTTGCTTTCTGTGTTTTGTCTCTTTAAGTAGAAGCAAAACAAACTCCAGTTCTTCCTTTGCACCAGTGCAGAGCATGTGTTGAGATGGGAACAAGCAGTGGGCTGCAAACAGAGGGGAAACATCACGAAAGCATAAAGGGCACCGTGGTTGCAGAGCAGGAAGAGGGCTTGAGCTGCGGGTGCCCTGCCCGCCCTCCAGCTGCTCTTCCGAAGGTGGCGTGCCTTCTGCCCTGCTGCCTGTTGACCAGGGATGAGGCTTAAGTGCTGTCGGCACAGGAGCTTTATGGAATCTTCATTCCTGGGAAGCTACAATTCTTCATATGCCAATGAATCAACACAAGGAAAGCCCCTTAGCTTTCCAACTTTAACATTTGGTGTACTCTCCAGTTAACCCTTTAAAGAAGCTACAGCATTCACTGTTCCCAGTGAGTATCGTCATTTCATTATCTAAGAGGCTGTCTATCTCTGATTCCTTTTCCAGGAAAACATGAAATGAGACCACGCAGTTCTGTCATGTTTACGGTATTCAACCTGCAACAAACAGAACTCTGATAAAACAGCCTATGCTTTAGAAGCCAAAGAGGACAGTTTTGGTCTTAAGTCGATGAATCAGGGCAGAACTGCTGACATTGGGGGTTGGGGAGTTCTTTCTACAGGGGACTGTGCTGTGCACTGGGAGTCACAGCATCCTTCCTCTCCACCCACTAGATGCCAGTAGCACCTGCCCAACTATGACAATGAAAAATGTCACCTGGCATTGGCCAGAGTTCCCGAGGAAGACAGAGATGGAATGCCATCCCTCACTAAGCACCAGTGCCACAAACCAATTTCACTCTGGAGAGGCAGCAGTGTGTTGGGGCTAAAGGTGGATTTTTTTTTTAAGTTTATTTTTATTCATCTGAAAGATGGAGTGAGGGGGATCTACAAAGATCCATCAACTGATTTGTTCCTCAGATGCCTGCAAGAGTTAGCATTTGGCTACACTAAAGCCAGGAGCCAGGAACTCCCGCTGGGTCTCCCATGTGGGTGGTAGGGGCTCAAATATTTGGGTATGCCAAGCTATGCATTAGCAGGAAACTGGATCAGAATTGGGAACAGCATTTCAACCTTGAGCACTGTGATATGGAGGGCAGGGGTCTCATGCAGTGGCTTACCCTCTGTTCCATAACACCCACAGCACTCCTAAAGGGGCTATTCAGGGGACAGAGTGCTCCTAACCAGCCGGGTGACCCTGCAGAAGTTATGTGCATTTTCACGTCTTAGTCTTCTCCTCTGTACAATGAAGTTGATAATGTTCTCTTCTTTATGGGACTGTTGTGAGATCTGATCAAGGTAACGCCTGTCCCACAGTGAAGGCTCAACAAATGTCACTACTATCTGTGCCATCAGTTCCTACAATTTCAAAGCCCGATCTGAACTTAAATGAAGGTTGAACAGTTAGCAGAGGCTAATTTAAGACGGGGGAAGGTTTGGGTATAGTTACACAGTTACAGATGGATATCTTTATTTATATTTCAAAGTGGTCAAGTTATAGAAATTCAACTATTGCATAATCCTGTAGACTGCTTTGCTAAACAGCTTTAGTTATTACTGCACATATTTTATTATCTTTCAAGTGGAGATTCCTAATTCATCAAAATTATGGGCCACTGCCAGATGATTCTTCTGTAAATACAACTGCTCCATTGTATTTGAAAAAAAAAAAGCTTGACATCATGCCTGGTCTTTTCCCTTGAGTTCTTTCTTCACCATTGGTCATATAAATATTATTGTATTATTCATTGAAATAATAACAGAAGCTACCATGTCTAAGAGCAACTCTGTGAGTGCCAAGCTAAGTGTTTCATGTATGTTATTTCACTCAAGTCTCAAAAAAACAACTTTAAAAATGATATGGGTATCTCAGAGAGGTGAAGTTCACATTTCCCAAAACACCTGCCACATAAAGACCAGAGAGCAAAGCAGGGGCTCAGGCTGGCTGCGGCCCAAGTCTTTGCTCTTGAAACATAAGTTTGTTATAAAAGCTCAACACCCGATCTTAACACAGGTTCTCCTTTCCTTGCCACCTTCCTTACTACCTGTGTCCCCATCCTATCAGCCACTTGCCTTGCTCTTCCCTCATCAAATGAAAAACACCTTCCGGAGTCTGAACATGGAAGCCACATTCTGGGTACTTTCAAGTCAAGTTCAAGGCAAGAGAGAGAGAGAGACAGGCAGATGCTGAAGGACCTAGTGTTCTTCACATTGATCCTGAAAGGAACTAACAAAAATTGCTTTGAAACCAAAAAATGGGTTAAGTGGCACCAAAAAAAACCTCATTCCAAGTTTCACAAAATAGAGTCCCATTAATTCAGCTCTTGGATGGATCTGCAGATTTACTTTATTTTTATTGGAAAGGCAGTTGTACAGAGAAGGAGAGAAAGATCCTTCATCTGCTGGTTTACTCCCCAAGTGGTCCCAATGGCCAGAGATGAGCCCATCTGAGGCCAAGAGCCAGAGACTTCCTCTGGGTCTCCCATGTGGGTGCAGGGTCCCAAGGTCTTGGACCATCCCCTGTTGCCTTCCCAGGCCACAAGCAGGGAGCTGGAAGGGAGGAGAAGCAGCCGGGACATGAACTGGTGATCATATGAAATCCCAGCACAAGGCTAGGATTTAATCACCAGGCCACATATGTCTGCACTCACCAGGTGGGGACTCAATCCAGGCCTCCCATGCGGCCACATGGGCAGCAGGGACTCAATTACCTGAGCCATGACAATCACCTCCTAGTGTCTGCATTAGCCTGAAGCTAAAGTCGGGAGCCAGAGCTGGGTATCCAACCTAGGCATTTTCATCTCAACCAGTATCCTATCCCCTAATATCAAATGCCCGTGCTGCTGTTAAGTCCTGCTGTCAGTTTCTAAACATGCTTGAAGTGTCAAATACATACAGACTGCTACAAAGTAGTTCATGATGTGAAAGGCAGAGCAGTTTGAAAACACTGCATACACACAGTAATACTTACAGATATGTCATCACTGAAGTCAATTTCATCCAAATCAAGGTATTCAGGGGCTTCCATTATTCTTTCTTGCACATTTTGAGTATGCTCAGATACTTAAAAATTCCTGGGCAAAACAAAGGCAGAAAAAAAAAACGTCAGCCATCTCACAACCCACAGTATTACACAGAGCAGGAAGGATGACAGATGCTGGTCCTGCGTTGCAGCCCACTTTCCCTTATCAGTGCTCCAGCCTGGCTCTCCAGGCGCAGTGAGCATGGCATCTCTGTGGCCCTGGCTGGCTTCGCAGTGAGCACCCGCACAGCCTTTACTTGATTTGTGGCCCTCTGTCCTTGCTAGAGCTGTAACTTGGTCAGAAGTCCACCCTCCCCCTACCCCCTTGGTGGCTACTGGGACTCACTCCAGTCCAAACCCAGCTGCCACCACACCCTGGGCGAGAGCAGGGACTTGGGAGATGGGGAGCCAGCCTGACCATTTCAAGAAAACCACATTCAGATATTTCCTGTGAGCACATGAATACTGGAACCCCACGGTATTAATATGAGCACAAAACAGACAGCAACAAATTCAGAGTAATGCATATTTTAGAATATTATACAGCTTCCAGATCACCCTCCAAGCAAAAGAAAGGAAAATGATCTAGGTCCAATTTAAACCATGGAGTTACTGTGGTGTCCCTCTGCTTCAGACAGCTCTGCCTGATTGCCAGAGTGACCTGATGCAGGCCTCAGAGCATCCTCTGTCAGCACTTGTCCCAGGACTGCCTGCAGCACTCCTGCACATTTGTCACGGTAGGATCCACCACCACCCATGTGTCTTCCTGTTTCTGATCAGCATCACCTCTGGCAGTGCCAGCCACTCCCACAGAAGCCAAGTACAGAAATCCAGCTCCTATTTGCACCCTGAGAAGACTCTCAGACTGTCAAGAGAAGATTCCATCTCCTACCACTTGCCTTTCCTGTAAGAGTTGTCCTGAACAGCCAGACCTGAGATCTCAAGTAATTCACCCTTCTCTGGTGTTCTAACCCAAGAGTGCTGGGGAACAGCATGAAACTTGTTATTACAAAGGGAAAGTTCCACCACACTGGTAAAACAGACTCTTCAATAAAGGGCAGGAATGTAGATTCACCTATATTTTATAAGGAAATTATTCTGAAGGTATCACTTTAGTGGAACTAAATAACAATTTTTTTTAAATCATCTCATACCTGAAACTCATCTTAGTTTTCCACGTTCTCTCCCTCCCTTCCCAAACTCATAGGCAGTTACACACTATTTTAATCACAGTAGAATCTACCCAGGAAAGGATTAGGATGCTACTTCCAATCTAGTCAGAGCAAAGAGCAGAAGTTCTTCTAAGCGACAGGCATTTGGCACAGTGGTTAAGAAGCCACTTGAGGGCCCAATGCAATAACCTAGCTGTGAGGAGTGATTCCAACCTCCCATCTTAGACCCTGTACCACTTCCTGCTTCCCCTTCTCCACAGCTCACAAAATTCTTGCCATTCAGGTTATCCACCAATCAGATGTAACCTGGTACCTTATCTGAGAAGCCCACTCCCTAATCTCTGGTCCCTCCACCTAGGCTCCACACATCTACCTGTGGCTCAAATAATCTCAGTCCCCAGTCCCTGGGGCCAGCACACAGTCCACACAGCCCCTCCCTTCTCCTTCCCTTCTCTTCTGGCTCTCCCCATCCCCTCCAACCTGCCCCTTTCCCTTGCCCTGCCAGCCCCCATCCTGCCACCATGGCAGGAGACGTGTCCCTTCCTGTTCCCCTCTCCCACCCTCGCTCCCGTTCCTACCCCTCCTAATATCTCATCATGTCTGGTGTTTTGGCTCATGGTAAACTAATCGTAGAAAGAGGACTTAGCTGTGAGAATTCGCTGCATATGACAATGTAAGAACTTAAGGAACTTTAAGTGCATTTAAAATCTAACACTAGTGGCTAAATCCTTGACTTGAATCCATCAGGATCCCATATGGGTACCAGTTTGTGTCCCAGGTGCTCCACTTCCCACCCAGCTTCCTGCTTGTCGCCTGGGAAAGCAGTAAAGGATGGCCCAAGACCTTGGGACCCTGTACCCTCATGGGAGACCTGGAGGAAATTCCTGGCTCCTGGCTTTGGATCCACTCATGTCTGGCCATTGCGGCTACTCAGGGAGTAAACCAGCAGACAGAAGATCTTTCTCTGTTTTTCCTTCTCTCTATACAGCTGACTTTCCAATAAAAATAAAATAAATCTTAAAGGAAAAAAGAAAGAGGCCATGTGGAACACCTGTATCCTAGTTGAAATCTCAGTTCTGCTTGCGATTTCAGCTTCCTGCGGAGGTTCACCCTGGGAGGCAGCCAGTGCTGGTTCAGATACATCGGTTCTTGCTAGCCGCACAGGAATCTGGTTGAGTTCCTGGCTTGTGGCTTCAGCCAGGCTTAGTCCTGGCTACTGGAGGCACTGAGACAGTGAACCAGAGGATGGCAACTCTGTCAATGACTAACTCTGCCTCTGTCTCTGTCTCGCTGCCTTTCAAATAAGAAGAATGAAATCAGTGTAAGAGCTCTTCTAGAGGCTGGTGAGCTGATACAGTAAGTGAAGCCTCCACCTGTGGTCCTGGTGTCCCTTAATGGTCCTAGCTGCTCCACTTCCTATCCTGCTGTCTGCTAATGCACCTGGGAAGGCATCAGAAAGATGGCCCAAGTCCTTGGGCTCCTGAACCCACATGGGAAACTCTGAAGAAGCTCCAGGCTCTTGGCTCTGGATCAGCCCAGCTCTGGAGATTGTGGCCATACGGGAACCAACCAGTAGATGGAAGGATGCTCTTTCTCTCTGTAATTCTTTCTTTCAAACAAAAGTTAAAATTAAATCTATGTGTGTTGCTGAACAATATTTAAAACAAAAGATTATATTATTTACAGAAATCTAAACCTGAGTTCTCAAATTATTGGATGCAAGTATTCATCTCTTTCTTGTGAATCCTCATAGGGTATATCAGAGGAAAACACAGGTATTGCTAGTTGAGAGTTATTTTCAAGAACTTCCTTGTCCTTCCTGGTAGATTCTGAGACCACCTAACCCTTCTGGCTTCCAGCTTGGCAGTGAGCACACTATTGCAACTCCTTCCTGATCTTTGATGATATGCTGCTCGCCCCAGAACCCGTCCCCATGGCCTTGGAGCTTAACAGAAAAGATGCTGGGTGCCAGGCTGTGACACAGCACAGGGAACATGGAAACGTGAGGAAACCAAGCAGCAAGCAGACAACGGACAGCCCGGGGAGTCTCTAAATACGTGAAAAATACCAAAATAAAGCACAAGGTGACTTCAGCAAGCTTGTGGGAAAGACAGAAGACACATTTTCTGTGATTCTTTCCCAGATCCCTGGTACGAACACAGATGAACTAAGCCAACAAATACAAGACCATGGAAACTGGTGGAGCAACTCTGACAAGAGAAAATCAAGCAGTGCCCACTGGGGTGTGGCCTCTCCAGTGGAACATGGCCCACAATGACACAAATGATGGTACAGCAGGCTGGCCTGCCATGTGAATGGGGCCAGGAGGGTGCAGTTCTTTGCAGGCTGGGGCACACAGATCACAGCAGTCACAGAGGCTGTGACAGAGCTCACACGTGTGCCAGTGGGTTGCATGACCCTTCCCAGAGTAAGGCAAGTGCATGTTCCCTTCCCTTGCGAGGGGGCCTCCATGGCTCTGCCTAGGCACCCTTCCTTCTGTCCGGCTTCAGTGCACTCCTTGGAAGGAGCCACGTGGAGAGAGTTGAGTCTTGCTGGAGCCTGGCAGAAGCCTCACCAACCCTGCCCCCCAAGGCAAGCACGGAGCTGCCACTGATGCTGCCTTCTTGCCCTGGAACCCCTAGGCGTGGAGGACTCAGCAGGAGACAGGAAGAGATGAAGTTGGACTGAACCAGATGTGAGCAGGAGCCCAAGCTTTCCTCTGGCCTCTTCTGCATCTCCTGCTAAGTCACGTGTGGAATGAGGCTGTCCAGCAGCTCCAAGGAGCCTGCAGGGAAGGCCCATGAGCCCAGTCTGGTTCTGGCAGCAGGCTCCAAACACCAAATCCATTGCCATCCTGTAGGCTTGGAATAAGGTCACATAAAATTCTACTTCATTTTAAAAAATACCCACAGCTCTGACAACACAGGCCTTCTCTCCTTAGGGCAATGACCAGCTGGAGATGGCAGCAGGATCTCTTACTCGGCTGCAAGACCCAGGCCAGGTCGCTGCGCTCATCTCAGGACAGTGAGCATTTACGAAGCTGAACCTCAAAAGGGATTCTGTGCTTTGCAGGAAGCACCAAGGCCACTACCCCACTTATAGTGGAACCTCCTGCCAAAACACTGACTGCATCCATATTCTCAGATTGACTCTATATCCAAAGATCATTTTCAATCCACAACAGCAACAAAATAAAGTTTCCTGCACATGCACTACCAACATGTCACAGTTCGGTGCTCCCACAGTCTCCTTTTACCTCTTAGTAAGAAAAAGAGAAACCCTTCACAAACACAGTAAAATGTTATGAGGTGGGGATTATGTTTCCCTCACTTTACAACTGCAGGAAGGAAGGGCCTTGGCTTTGCTGTGACTGGTGAGAATTTACATGGTGCCACTCCACAGCTATGACCAGAGGGGAGGAAGGAAGTTGTGCCAAGGGTAAGCCCAGGAACAGGCCTGAAGCCATCTATAGCCTGGCCCCAGGCAGTGGCAGGGAGGCCAGAGGGCTGGCCTACTAGAGCCCATGGGAGTGGGCAGTGCCCGGGGGAAGACAGCCTCCAGGCTCCTAGCAGGCGCACCCAACCTCCTGAGGGAGTTTTTCTGCTGTGCACCGCAGCAGGCCCACAGCTGCCAGTCAGGGCTCAGTGAGTCCTGCAACTTCCCACTGAGTCATGACCCCAGAGGCTGTAGTCCTTGGTCTCTGGTCTCAGGTCTCTCCCATGGGCTTTGTTTTGTATCAGAGCCCACGTGCCCTCAATCTGTCCACCCTGAGGATGAACTGACTGGATCCTTCCTACTCTCATTTCAACTGAGTTTCTCTTCACTAGTGTTGGC